CTGGAACTTACTCATCTTACATAACCAAAATCTTATACCTACCAATGAGCAACTAACTCCCCTTTTTTTCCTTCTTACTAGTCCTTGGCAATGCAACTCTATTCTTTTCCTTCTATAAGTTTGACTATTTTTACACTCACATAAGTGAAAAGTAAATGGACTAAGTATAGTGGCCTTCTGTGACTAAGGTTTATTGCATTTAGCACAATGTCTTTAGGGTTCATGCATGTTGTAGGATTTAATATTGCAAAGTTTATACAAAGACCTGAGGCAGGAAAGAGCTTGGTGCTTAACGAGAATAGAAAGAAGAGTGAAAAATAAAGAAAGGGAAAGGAACAGAACACAAGTGGAGAAACAGACTTTCGGAAGAAGGACTCTTCATTGTAACAGAAGAGCAATTTAGGGATAAAAGCAGGATTTTGTAGCTTTCATTGTACAAAGATAAGTTTCTACCTGATAGTTTCTGATTTCTCATTAATGGATGAGTTGAGGTCTTTAGCTAAAACTGAAAATGAGTAAAGGGTGTATATGTTTCAGGAAAGGGAAAGCTTGTCATAGACTTTCTAGGGAGTGGGAATGTGAGCCTATTGGAGAAAGAGTGGGATTGCTGGATAGATCCAAGGACTAATTTGAGGCTTGAGATTTTGCATTTAAAATGAAATCAGGAGCTGGCAGTATAGCTCAGTGGTAGAGTGCTCGCCTAGCAAGCACAAGGCTCTAAGTTTGATCCTCAGGAAGAAAGAGAGAGAGAGAGAGAGAGAGAATTCTGAAGAGTTTAATGGGGAAAATAATAAGTAGAGGGCTGAGCTTTAGAATGCACCCAAAGAAAACAGATGTGGTCTGAAAAATAGAAGTAGTGGGACTGGGGTTCTGGTTCAGTGGTAGAGTACTTGCCTAGCACATGTGAGGCACTGGGTTGGATCCTCAGCACTGCATTAAAAAACAGACAAACGGTATCATGTCCATCTACAACTAACTAAATAAATAAATAAATAGAAGTAGAGGAGTATAATGTCCTCAACCCATGAAAGCAGAAATTTTAAGAATGAAGGTGGTTATCAGAAGTGCCCCAAATGGGACACTGAAATCAAAGAAGGCAAGGGCTTAGAAAGGATGACAGCATTTGCTTTAAAAGGAGGCCTCTGTGACTTTGGTTCATTTACTTCTTTAGTTGGTGAAAATGATACCACATCATAAAGGGAGAGAGAGGGCTGAACAATGCTCAATGAGTCTGATAACACTCAGCCATTTATTCAAAGAAAGTAGAGAACCAGGGCATTTGAAAGAGCAGCAGTAACAACCGAATTGTGTTCTAAATGGGGAGGCTCATCAAAGCATAAAAACAGAGAGCTAGTGGAGAGACCATTGGAGACAGAATATGTGAGCAAAGATCTCTTCAGGACTGAGTGCTGGACGTGGTAGTGCACACCTGTAATTCCAGCAGCTTGGGAGGCTGAAGCAGGAGGGTCACAAGTTCAAAGCCAGTCTCAGCAATTTAGTGAGGCCCTGAGCAACTTAGTGAGACCCTAATTCACAATAAAAAATAAAAACGGGCTGGGGATGTGGCTCAGTGTTTAAGTACCTCTGGGTTCAATCCCTGGTATCCCACCAAGGGCGAAGCAGAGATATTGGCTCCATGGTAAATTGCCCCTGGGTTAAATCCCAAATACCAAGAAGAAAGAAAAACTGTCCAGATGAACCCCAGAGAGTGTCCCTTGTGTCCACACAAACATGGGTAGCCAACACATGGATAGTTTAACCCACCTATTAGCTTCCAAAATTTAGGATCTTTTTTTAAAAATTTTTTCCTTCTGCAGTGCTGGGGATCAGACCCAGGGCCTCATTCATGCTAGGCAAGTTGTATGCCACTGAGCTACATCCCCAGCCCTCACCCTATGTCTTTAAACAGGTCAGGAACTGATTTGTGTTTTTAGGGACAGAAAACCATAGCTTCTGATTGAGTTTTAGTCTGTAATAGGTTAATTAATAATAACAAGTCTTTCAGGGGATGGTGGTATTATGGAGCTGGGGCCTTTTGAGAAACTGAGGCACTGAGAAGATCCCCTCTTCAAACCCTGATTCTTGCAATCAAATCAGAAAGATTTGAGACATCTCTCAGAGTACCAGAAATGAGTTTATTGAAGCAATAGGAAAAAGGGAAAGGGGACACTCTCAAGGGTGAGAATGGGTTCTCTCAGAGAGGAGAGGGACAGGGACAATGTGTCTCTCCTCCACTCCAGTTTTATAGGGATCCCACCCAGGTCCACCTCTTGATTTTGGACAGAGAGCAGAGTGACATCAGATTTTTCACGTCCCCATTGTCATGGCAACTCTAGGTCACCTTGGTCCCTGCTGACCAAATCTAATTGGATTCTTAGCCTTTCATTCTTACAGAGTTTATGGTTAGGAGGAACTATTCTTATCTCCCAGAGTTTCAGGATCTGATCACAAAAGTCTCCTCCCTCAGGGCAACTTGGGTTCCTCTTCTCCCCATTATCTTGGGTCTGAATTTAACAGGTAGTTTGCTGAGGAATGTGACATATCCTGTCTACTTGGGCCAGGAAGGGCTGCAGGTAAATTGCTTCTTAGAAAAGAAAGCATGTAGTGTCAGCCCAGAGCACCCATTTTACAGAATTATTCCCTTAACCTCATTTCCCACCATTCACATCTGTCTGTCCCCTAGGCACACACTTAGAATCCCCATTACAGCATAGGCTGAGGCAGAGCAAGCTCCTGACTCAAAATGAAATTAAAAGGATTGGGGTCTTGGTACAGTGGTAGAGCACTTGCTTAGTATGTAGGAGGCCCTGGGTTCAATCCCCATTACTGAGGTGCGGGGTGGGGGGGACTTTTAAAAAAATTTTTTAGTTGTTCATTGACCTTTATTTATTTACTTATATGTGGTGCTGAGAATCAAACCCAGTGCTTCACACATGCTAGACAAGCGCTCTACCAAATGAGTCATGACCCCAGCCTGAAAAACTTTGTTTTAAAAATTTTTCAAAGAATTCAGAATGCTTTTTTCTTAATGTTTTTTAGTTGCCAATGGACCTTTATTTAATGTATTTATATGTAGTGCTGAGACTCGAACCCAGTGCCTCATACATGCTTGGTAAGTTCACTACCACCGAACCACAACCCCAGCCCCTTAAGAATGCTTTTTTAAAGGTTGTATGTAAAACAACACCTTCAAAATACATTTATATGGTATTTCTTCAAGAGTATGTAGAAAATCTTTTCATCAGTTAAAACAACATCACTGCAGTAGACCCAGCAAAGGCTAGGCTTTCAAGGTCAAGGATACTTTCATGGGCCATTTATTTATGTGTTTATTTTGGTACTGAGGGTTGAACCCAGAGGAGTTTAATCACCGAGCCACATCTGCAGCGGGGGCCCGCCTTTAATATTTTAATATTTTTTAATTTTTTTAATATTTTTTAATATTTTTTTTTAATTGTAGATGGACACAATACCTTTATTTATATGTGGTGCTGAGGATTGAACCAGGGCCTCACACTTGCTAGGCAAGTGCTCTACCGCTTAGCCACATCCCCAGCACTCTTTTTTGAGACAGGATCTCCCTAAACTACTTAGGGCCCCACTAAGTTGATGAGCCTGGTCTTGAACTTGTGATCCTCTTGCTTCAGCCTCCCCCGATAAGGAAAAAGTGCACCTTTCTCCCCAGCATGAAACCAGCTCTTGATGTTGCCTTGCTGCAACTGATGATCATTCTTTTCCTTTGGGATATACCAGCTCTGCTTAACAGCTGTGACTGCGGTCAAGTTACCTAGCTTTTCCAGGTCTTACTTTCTCTAGCTATAAAGTTGAGGTAATTAATACTTATTTATCTTATATGTAAAACATTCTGGTTCATGCCTATATTCATTATCTTCATTATATATGTTCATTATATATCATATTCATTATATATGTATATATAATGAATATAATATTATATATTATATTCATTATATATGTTCATTATATATGTTCATTGTCTTGCAAGGCTAAAGCAGAGGGATCACACATTTGAGGCAGTCTTGGCAACTTAGTGAGACCTGATTCCAAAGAAAAAGGGCTGAGGGTATAGTTCAGTGGTAAAGTTATCCTTGGGTTTCATCGCAGTGCCCCAAAAAAAAAAAAAAAAGCACTCAAAATGTTGTTGAATATGTGACAGGCTCTTGATACATAGTAGCTAATATGCTATGCAAGGTGGTGCATGTGTGTAATCTCAGGGACTGGGGAGGCTGGGACAGAAAGATAGCTAATTGGAGGCCAGCCTCAGCAATTTAGCTAGATCCTGCTCAAAATAAAAAATAAAAAAGGTTGTGGGGGATATAGCTCAGGGATAGAGTGCCCCTGTGTTCAATCCCCAGGATTGCAAAAAACAAAACCACCTAATACTGTTATGGTTGACACTTACATTCTCATGTTTGTTGAGGGAAAAAATAATGCCCAACTCACCAGACAACTAGATTTATTTTTAATATTCAAAGGCAAGCATGGCACTAAACACAGAAGATTTTGATTTTCAAGTGCTGGGTCTCAGCCACGGTCACAGTGACATGTTCTTATTAGTGTTTGAAGTTAAATTATTAGACCAGCCATTTTGAGCTACTGCTTTGACTTACCCATCACCAGAAGCAACCAGATGCTCACTAGTAGAGGTAAAAGCCCGCCCTTTCCTTTAGCTGTAAGGGGCGGGGCCACATTACTAGAACCAAGAAGAGAACACCTCCTTGGCTTTAAAACTCAGCTTGTGATTGGCTGTCATTCGGCATTATGTTAATTTAGCATGACGTTTGAAAACTCCTCTAAACAAGTACGTTCCATTTAAAACGTTAAACTGTGTTGTTAAGTGAAAATATTTGGAAATATCGTATCGCAAAATGTGTTTTATTATTTATTTTACAGCGAAAGTAGAAGTGAGAGAAACTACCTCATCATCACTTAAAAGTGATTAATCCTGGTAGACCCAGCAGGGCCTGGTGGGAGCGGTTAAGACTATACTTTCAGGGATCATTTCTATAGTATGTTACTAGAGAAGTTTCTCTGATTGTGTGGAGTACTGAAAACCACGAGGAGGAGTTGAGTGGTCTCTTCTGAGCGTGAAGCTGGTTCTGGGTGTTGCTTTATTGCAACTGCCTTTTGCCATTGATGATCGTTCTTAATCCTCTTTGGAGGTTAAGAGGGAGAGACCACAGTCTGAGTGGTTTCTGTTATTTACACAGTTTTTGCGAAAGTAGAAGTTGTAGGATTTGTGTCTGAGGGTTTTTATTGAGGTAAAGTGCTTTTTTTTTTTTTTTTCTTTTAACTCCTTTTAGTTGTAGGTGGATACAGTAGTTTATTTTTATGTGATGCTGAGAATTGAAACTGATGCTTCATGCATGGTAAGCGAGGCACAACCCCCAGCCCCAAGGTGCTGTTTTTTTTTAATTTCGTGTTTTGAGGTTGTATTAGCAACTTACAGTTCTGGGTTACATTTTTGCAGTAATGCCAGATTTGGAAGATAAGGGTTGTGTGCTACCCAAGTCATACCTATATCACTATTGTCTGTAAGAATAGTCATTCCTGTCAAAGACTTGTAAGAATTGGGGTAACAGGATGCTACCTAGCTGTAGTTTTGCTAATGTCAAATCTCATCTCCCAGAGGACTCCAAAATCATAGCAGCAATAAGGATTAATTGGGACTTAAAGGTTTAAGTCTAGGTCTTTTTGACCTTTTTAGTCAGTTTCTTTGTATACCTCATGACAGCCTTTTGCTACATTTTTACAGACCCCGCGTTTTTACGGGTCTGTTCCTATTTGTCTTTATATCAACCACAACATATAGTGCTGACCTAGAATATTTGTTAGAAGAATGCGTTTTGTTTTCTGTTAGAAAATTTCCGAGGGACATTTCCAATTGTAAAGTTGTAGGGATAGTGAGCTGCTTTTCCCAATCTATTCTTTTTCCTCCCCTCCTTTTTCTTCCTTTATCTTTATTTCCAGTTGACAGGGTCTTGAGCTTAGTTGCTCAGGCTGTCCTCGAATTTGTGATCTTCCTGCTTAGCCTCCTAAGTAACTGGATTACAATCAGAATACCCACATACCCTTCTTCCTCACTCCCCCCACAAAAAAAAAAAAAAAAAAAAAAAAATTACTTGCACTTGTGGAGATAGGAATCAGTAACTGAAACCACTGTCCCTGGGATACAGGGAAAACTGTACCAATCAAATTTTTGAGAAATTGAGAAATGTCAAAACCAAAAAATAATATTAAATGTTTATGACTCCAACATCTAGAACTGACAATTATTATTAGCATTGTATTTTATATCTTAGTTAATGAAACAAATAAAACCTTACAGGTAGGGCTGAAGTTGTGGCTCAGTGGCAGAGCGCTTGCCTGGGATGTGTGAGGCACTGGGTTCGATCCTCAATACCATATAAAAATAAATAAAGGTATTGTGTCCAACTACAACTAAAAAAATAATTTTAAAAAAATCTTACAAGTAAAGTAGTATTTGAGTCCTATCCCCAGACCCCTTCTCAACCTGATTTGGCCAGTGGGAAGCCCAAGTATGAGATCAGAAAGAGGGAGATTGGTATTTATCTCTCAGGACCCTCTCAGGGGGAATCACTTTAGGCTAAGTCCCTTGACTAAAGAGCAAGCTTATTTGGAGTTAGCTCTGTCTCTAGGAATCTCTCCTTTTAGGTTCCACCAACCTTTCTCTATTCTGGACTATGGACTAAGAGCTCTGCAATTGCTGGTCCTTGGACATTTTACTATCTTTGTGGTTTCCCCAAACCTTTGTAATGATCTCTTATTAAACAATACCCAAATTGTTCTAACTCATATATGCATCTGTTTCTTGCTTGTTCTCTGACTGATTCACCTGGGATGCTCCCAAAAGGCAGATTTCTAAGATTTGTTTTCTTTCTTTTCATTAATTCACTTAGTTATATATTTATTCAGCAGATTCTTGAATGATCCCTGTACTAGGTGCCCTGTGTGCAGTAGTTAACAGTTCCTGCCTTTGGTAAAAGACAAATAATAAAGAAGAAAACAACCTAATCATAGTTAATTTTGATATGATAGAAGTTAAAGAGGACCAAGGCCAAACTTTAGATTCAAGGGCCAGGAAAAGTTTTTCTGAGGAAGTACACTTTACCCTGAAGTATGGGAGTTTGAGGCAGAGTGAACTGCAAGTGCAAAGATGGCAAAGCACTTGGTGTTTCAAGGAGCAGAAAGTAAACCAGTGGGCTTGGCCAAGCAAAGTGCACTGGGGATGCATTGTAAGACAAGAGAGCCAGGTGGGATTCAGATCAGGGGTCACTCCATTTAAACTGAGCTAACTGGGCTGCACGAAATACCCACACAAGAGACACAAATACCTTTTCTTTGGGGTCGCTGTGACGGCTCCTCTGACCTTAAGGGTCCGCAGAAAGAGAGAGAGCAAGAGCACGCTGACCCCTTTTATTGAGGAGAAGCTATTCAAATGCAGCAAGGGGTCAGGTTTCAGGGGGCTGAGTCTATCTTCATGATGTCCACTGTCAGCAGGTTGACTGACACCTGGGTAGCCCACACCCAAGGGCACAGTAAGAGAAGGGGACACACACAAGGCACTACCATGGAAGATTCTATCCTAAACAGGGCAAGGGGTTATATTACAAAGGAACAGGTGACCATAGCCTCACCCATGGGACTGTAGCAAGGTACACCCATGCACGAGACACTGAGTGCCTCAGCATCCAGCTGGGGAGTGTGACTCAGTCACGTGTAAGGTTGGTCTCCCACAGCAAAGTATTTGCATTTTATTTTAAGTGGAAATAGGAGTCATTAAAGGGCTTTAAGAAGAGAAGTGACATAATTTTATTTATTTAGAGACTGAGTCTAATTGCCCAGGCTGCCCTTGAACTTGTAAGCCTTCTACTTCAGCCTCCAGAGCCACTGGGATTACAGGCGTGTGCTACCACACCTGGCTTATTTTTCAAGATTGTTCTGGCTGCGAATAGAGATTGGAAAGGGACAAGATAGGAAAAAAGATATGGTAGTGGGTATAGAGATGGAAAGAAGTGACTAGATTTGAGATATTTTTGAGGGTAAAACCAACATGACTTGATAATGGATTAGATGGAGGAATAGGTGAGTAAAAAAAGGAGAAAACTCTAGGCTGGCTTTGGCCCCTACAAGTGGAGGGTAAAGTATATTGAACCCATGGGTGCTTTATCATTGAGTCATTGACTGAGAGTAGACCAGTAAAGAAACAGGTTTCTAGAGAGAATATGAAAACATCTGATTCAAGTCACAGTCACACTTTGAAAAAACATGATCCAGAATTCACAAATGCATGCTTTAAACTCTGTAACTAGGGTCAAGAGTATAGCCCAGTTGTAGAATGCCTATCATGCATGAGGCCCTGGGTTCAATCTTCATCATGGAAAAAAAAAAAAAGTCAATTAAATGAAAACCAAGGAATTGGAGTAGTGGCTCAGCGGTAGAGGGTTTCCTCACACGTGTAAGATACTGGGTTTGAACCTCAGCATCACATAAAAATAAATAAACAAAATGCAGGTATTGTGTCCATCTACAACTACCAGAAGAAGAAGAAGAAGAAGAAGGAGGAGGAGGAGGAGGAGGAGGAGGAGGAGGAGGAGGAGGAGGAGGAAGAGAAGGAGAAGAAGAAGTCTGAAGAATTCTTGAGAAGACAAAACAGACCTCACAAGTGACCTCTTGAGTTATTTCTTATGAATTAAAATGGATCAGAAGGAGTCAACAAATATATAAGTAGGAACTTTCCGATGGAATAGATCTAATTAGGCAAAGTGTAACTGTAATCAATCAAAACTTTTCTTGGCTTTTCTGTGTCCATCCTATAAAAGTCTTCTGCTTGAGTTTTTTTTGTAGAGTTCCCAGCCCACATCTGGGTTGGAACTGCCCAATTCATGACCCATTGTATGTGCAAATAAGGATTTTGTTATGCCTCAGCTTATATTTTTTGAAAGTTCTCATGTAATTGTTTTCCTTTCTCTTCTAAATATGATTTTCTTTTATTGTGTGTGTGTGTGTGGGGGGGTAATGTATATTGAACCCATGGGTGCTTTATCATTGACTACATCTCTGGCCCTTTTTATTTATTTTTAAAAAATATTTTCAGTTGTAGTTGGACACAATTTCTTTATTTTTTTTAATGTGGGGCTGAGAATCAAACCCAGTGCCTCACATGTGCTAGACAAGTGCTCTACCACTGAGCCACAGCCCCAGCCCCCTTTTTATTTTTTATTTTTATTTTGAGACAAAGTCTTGTTAATTTGCTCAGGGCTTACTAAATTGCCCAAGCTGGCCTAGAACTTGCAATCCTCCCGTCTCAGGCCCCAGAGTCACTGGGATGACATGGATAGCTGCTGTGCTTGGCTCAAGTACAATTTACATTAAGTACTTTAATAGAATTCTTAGGTGGTGTTATGCAGAGGAGTTTTTGTTCTGTTTTGTTTTACTACCTCATTCTAGCCATGACACCATATTATGGAAAAAAAAAACAACACAACTTTGTTTTTTGTTTTATTTTGGTGGTGCTGAGGATCAAACCCACATGATAAGCAAGCACTACGCTATTGAGCTCCATCCTCAACCCTTTTGTTAAATTTATTTTGAGACAGGTTCTCACTAAATTGGTGAGTCTGGTCTCTATTTTATTTTATTTTTTTAAATGAGGAAGTTTTTTTAATATTTATTTTTTAGGCGTAGATGGACACATACCTTTATTTTTATGTGTTGCTGAGGATTGAACCCGGGTCCCACCCATGCTAGGGGTGCGCTCTACCACTGAGCCACAATCCCAGCCCATGGTCTCTATTTTATTATCCTCCTGTTTTAGCCTCCCAAATAGCTGGGATTATAGGCATGAGCAGCTGTACCTGGCTGAAAGTTGAGTTTTGAAAAATACAAGCATTTCATCTTTTCAATCTGTTGTGATCTTTGAAGTCAAATATGAAAACTTATCAATGATGAGGTTATATAGTCTATGTACTTAAACAAAAGGTCCAAATGCATGATATAATCCTTTACCAGTTCCTTCCAAACCCTCCTCCTCCAGCTGATTCATTTACACTTTACAAAGTGAACAAAAGCCCACCCTCACCTGTGGAGTGGGGGGCTTGGGCTTCTCACCATGCTGAGGACAGAACCCTCTGCTTCTTCCAGTTCTAACCGACACAGGCAAAGGGGAGACA